ACCATTAAAACACATTTATATATACATATATTAATGAAGTTAAAAAAATTCAAATTTATTAAATTGTGTTTTTAATGATATAATATATACTTCGTTAGTAAATAATTCAATAACTTTAAAATTACAAAAAATTACATCTGTATATTATATTATTTATAATGTATACAAGCTACATAATTGATTTTAATAAATTTGCTCTGTCTATATCTGCTTATGTGCTCATTATAATCTCGTTTTCAGCAGGCTGTAGTAGCGGTGAAAAACTAAAAAAATTAACCAACAATGATTTGTTTAATTTTTTACGAGGGAGGAGTAGGTGCAATGAAACCTTTGAGTGTGGAATCTAGATTTTTTCTACTGAAAAAAATCGCGAAAAACACAATGGATTTGAATGGAGCTCAGAATTTGATAGTCTAGTTTTAAATTTAGTACACATTTTTACCATTAGTTTACACAAAAAATGGTCCCAATGTAATAGGACAATTACATTTTTTACTAAAAACATTCTAAATGGCTTAAAAAGGAATTCATTTTACCATCTCTTCCATTACAAATGAACTGTTGGTTGTCCGAAAAAAAATTTAAGTCGTGCACAGAAAGAATAAAAAAACAAAAAATTTCAAATCTTGTACAAAATTTTACTTCACCAGAATTGGCATACGCTGTAACCTCTAAACTGCATAAATCCGGGGAAAAAAGTGTAGCTTTACTTTTCAAAGAATTAACGTCTACTCCTAACCGAGCTATAAAAATGCGAAAATCATTAAAAAATATTAATATATCTCTTCTTATACCTTACTTTCCCAACAAAGCTGTGCCATTTATCATGGATAATAATTTAACAAAAAATCAGTGCACAAACATTCGAATCGGTTCTAAAGCTTGAAATTAAAACATTTATCCGTCATATGTCAAAGTGCTTATTGCCAAAAAACAATTCTACCCAAATAATATCATTATAACTTAATGTAGTGCCGAAATACCATTTCAAAATGTATTAAATCATACTATTCAACGTATTCTGTAAATTCCTAGTGTTCAAAGTATGAATATTAACATAGACAATTGTGAATTATTCTCTAAATGAGGATGTGATGGAAGAAATGGTCAAATACAGTATAGAATAAATTTTGATTCATCTACTACACAATCGGTGACGGATAGCGATATGTTTGTTTTCTTTTGTACCATTGCAAATGAGTTGCACGATTGATGACAAAAAATGTATTATTTGAAAAAATCCAAGGCCTTCTTCAACAAGATTTTGCAGATCTATTAAATTTTTATTTAAAAAAGAAATCGCTGAAAATACTCGAGAAAAAGTAAGTAATGTTGAAAAACGCTGCAACTCGTTTGCGCACACATACATTTTTTACTTAAAAATCCACGACTCGTTTGCTGCGCACTACGAAATCAATCGTCTACCAAAAAATAGATAACTCGTTTGCGCACAACGACACATTCAACACATGACACGTGTTTACATACATCGTCACAGACTGCAGATCAAATTATTAAATATATTAACTTAATGTTATCTTATAATCAACTATGTAGACTGTAGATTATATAAATTTGGATTTTTCAAACAAATTTTAGTAAGTTTCAGTAAGTATGGACTATGGATATGGACGGTACGGTGGTGACTAAGTGTGTTGACGACGTAAACTTTAATATGGCATAAAAATGCCATATTAAATGCCTTATTTTTAAGTATCAATTTTTTTAGGTTTTCAAACATGTTTCACATCAGTTAGTGTACGATATATGTATATGATTAAATTAAATTCCTACAACTGTTGTATATTATACTTCACTCCATATTAAAGTAGTAAATTTATTTAAGTAGCTTAGGTAGTTATATTGTATGTCTACTCAAATACTCAATGGACTCATTGTTAAATAAATATTATAACAACCTTACCTGAAATTTGAAAAAAA